AACAAATCATTAGTTTAATTATTTATTAATTTATTTAATTATTATTATAATTAACCTTAAAACTCTTTTCAAAATGCTTCTACTTCCCAACTAAAAAAATTCAATCTTTTCATGACATGAGGATGATATCCCAACCTCCATTCTTTTAATCTAATTACCTTCCATTCTATATAGATACAGTAATTAAAATTTTCAAAAGAAATAAAGAATTTTTTTTGTTCTCTTCTGCACAGTAATTAAAAATTATGGAAGAGATATAAGAAATTAAGTCAGAAAGGGACCGGGCAGAAGAGGAGCAAAACTGAGTTGGAAAAATATATACCAATCCAATCATATTCTTAGTTGCACAACACAACCTATTGTAGTACTCTATTAAATTTGGAACATGATTGTGGTTTGAGGGATTTGAATTTGGGTCGAAATATGATAAATTTGACTCGGAACAAAATAATTAGTAGTAATAATTTCTTTGTTGGTCATGAATTTTGTTTTTGAAAATTTCTTTGGCATAATTGTTTGCAACCTTCTAAATAAAATAAAAGCTACAAAGTGGGACATAAAGTCCTGAGAATTGAATAGATGAAGGACACATAAAATTAGGTAGTGTATTATGGCACCCAACGTGATTCAAAAGAATGAATGAAGAAGTGAGCTGGAGTGGAGGCTTTTTAAACACAATAAAAGTTTCATGTTCAAACTTTGCTGAGAATGAGAGAAGTTTGAAAAGGGCTGTGTGGGCTACTAGTGGTAGTTGTAGTAGTGGCCTTGCTGGGTTTAAACTAAAATTTTTAAAAAGTAGCATCCAATTCCAATTCCAAACCGCGACTTGAGTTGGGTGGGTGCCTTTTGAAAAAACATCAATATCCAATTTTTACGAGCTGAAATTAAGAGAGGGAGAGGTGTCGTGTGGAATGGATGATGTTTTTATTCCTGGGCCTTCTGTTGAAGGGTAACTGGGCCTCTAACTGAAGACGAGTGAATTGATCAAGGTAGGTGGGCCAGGAAAAGTCCTCCAGGCTCAAGCACAATCCGGGCCGAAGAAAAGCTAGGTGGATAGTGGAATAACCAATAATAATGGATTACATAGAGTGAGCCTAGGCCTAGCTTTTACCATTAGCTTACGTAATAGCTAATTATGCTTACGTAATATTTTGATTGGTGATTGAAAAAAATCATCACCAATTACAATTTTCAAAGCTCATGTTTTGGAGAATGTATGACATGGCTAACCCACCTAAAGTCTAATCCACACATATAGAGAGTGACTCCACAGGAATTAGACAGCAATTGTCCCTCACCCTCTTCTTGATAGCTATAACTTAACAGGGCCGCAGGA